TAGAATTCTAAAGTAAACAAATCTTTAAGTGCAACAAAAATATATAATTAAAAAAAGAAATAGAACTGGGTGTCAAAACCATCTCTAAAAGTCAACATTCAGTTGTTAGAACTACCTGATTTTGTTTTAGTTTTACATGACATGTTTTCAAGGTGCTATTTTAAAAGAATGATTCAGTTTTAGCCTATGATCACATATATTGCCAAACCAATTTTTTAAAAGCCTAAGCCAAATTAAAATGTTACTTATTCAATCAGAGGAGCATATAATACACGTGTTAAAATTGGGATACGTTCTAAAGTTTGCAGAGTCTAAAATGCACAACAAAAATTGCTTGTCTAAGTCAATAGTTTCTAAACAAGGCATTTACCTCAGCCTCCCAAATCTCTTGCAGCACTCCCTAAGTTTTTGGAAATCTGCCTAGTAGGCCCTTATGCTCAAGTGCTGCCAACTGCCTTTTGCAATGATGCCCAATTCAGGTCTGGAATTCAGATCTTGGTCTCACCATCAAAACTTTTCAGCCCTGTGCTTCATGTCTCAGACTGGTTCTGAACCACAAACTAAAGAATTTTTCAACTAATGTTTTCTAATAAAAATCCAATGGACTTCCAATTACAATATAGAAGAAGCAGTTCCTTCTTCCCTGGTTAATTTCTTCACATTAAACTAGCTTTGCTCTTACATCTTATTACTACAGTTATTCTCTTCCAACCAATTTATTCTCAGTTCAGCCACAAAGGCATCATTGTGTGGCCAGTGTTAATTCTTTGTCTGATGAGTTCCCACTCTATTTAGCCAGGGATGGTCCTGTACTAACAGAGCCAAGAATTTATATTTCTGTTTGATCTGACCCAAGTAAACCTAGCAATGATAGACAAAAGCATAGAATAAGACAATCTTAAAGCACAGACCAACTAATTGAGCCATATTATGGATACATTCCTGGAAACTCGTGATAGCCATTTGTGCACCTCTACAAAGACACTACTTTCCACTTATTAAACTTTTGGATTATTTTACCCCTGAAATATCTCAAATAAATGGAAATCATAAATGCTAAGTAATAATAATTAGCAAAAGTTTTCCTATTTGTAGCTTTCTTCCATTTTCTCAGAATAACAAATGTTTGCTTTGTTGTCTTTTAGATGGAGAAAGTCTAACCTTTCCTATTACTTTTATTTCTGATGGCTCTCCCAAGAAATCTTCAGGAAGTTAATATCATAATACATCAGGAATTTTTTTTAATTAAAAAAATCCTGAGGACTTCTTATACGAATAATCCTAGATGCAAAAGATCACAAGTGGATTTGGCAACAAAAGAGCAATCATTTGCCTAAGGAAATGAATGGTCCAAACTCTATTTGAAATTTTAAGATCCTAGTTGCTTTCCAAGTATTTCAGGCCCACAGGGTTGGCAACTCATGGACTCAGCCCAGAAACTTTGAAAGGAAGATAACAATTAATAAGCACTAAATAAGAGAAGAAGAAAAAGAAAAGGGAGATTCCCGTGAAATAGTTTCAATTTTCTATTTAAAATGTTTTAAAGATACACTGATTGCAATTTTGTTGTGTTCATTTTTGTGTGTGTACAGCTTAAACAATTGCTCTCATTTTTAGTTTCATTTAAATATTTATTGTATTTATATGGATCACATATTCATGTTTCATTACCCATAGAAAAAAGTGGTCAATAAATGTGTTGAATTGAATTTAAAAGGACCATATTATAATTCTGGGCCCATATTATAGTTCTTTGAAGAATGGACTTGATTTAAATTATGCTAACTCATCTATATAAGTCTTTTATTGTAAGTAGGTAGGTAGATAGATAATTACTTCTGAGCAAGAAGAAAAAAATTATAACAAATCATATTTTTATGTTTTCTGCAAACTTTTCCACCAAAAAATGAGGGAGGAGGGACTTGTAATAAAGATAGAAATATGTAAAGAGAAAACTAAATAAAAAGTTAATAAAGTTGAACATACAAAGAAACTTATCTTCAATATGATCCATCTTTGTTCAAAAGGAGAAAAGGAGGTTTTCTTTTATACTGATCCTTTCTCTTAAATTCTCATTTTTCTGTGTTTGCATGCAGTGTCTGGTTTATAATGCTAAAATCTAAATAAGTTCTAGTGGTACTGGCAGCCAAATTCAGCACTACCCCTCGGTTTCCCTGTGGGCAAAAATCTCTCTGCAGCCTTCGTGGATGCAGCTTTGGAAGCTTGCAGAGTCCCCATGGGCGAGCAGCTGCAGAGGGAAATTCAAGCTGGAGACGATTCAAACTCTCTGAGACCAGGGGAAAATAAAAAAGAGAAGCCGATGACTATGTTTGCGTATGTGCGAGCTCCTTTCCTGCCCCAAATTCTTCATGTATCTTATTACGTATCTTATTATTCTTGCAAATTCTTTGCAAAATGTTTTTAAGTAGTTAGATTATTATATTGCAAAAATATCACATGTTCATAAGAAACATTGAGGAGAAATTATTAGTAATCCTGTAAAGAAATCACTGAAGCAAGCCAACCACTCAATTAACATTCATTCTACAGCTAGTTGATGAGTGTCAAGCCCTTGACTCTGTGCTGAAAGGACAGTACTGAACAAGACAGAGTTTACAGTCTGGTTGGGGAGATCCACAATTAAACAAGCAATTTAACAATAAAGTATGACAAGACAGTACAAAATAAGCTCCCCCCTCCAAAGGTTGGGAAGAACAGAAAAAGAGAAACAATATTATTACAAGAGATGATGCAAAACAAAGAATCAAGTGAAGCAAAACAAACAAACAAGAATTTCTCTTGGTTTACAAAATCCGTTTCAGTAAAAAAAGAAAAGGAACACGTTTTATAAGAAATCCTTCTCCATCTACTGTAAATACCTCAGGCACCATCACTGGGCAACAGCAAACTTCTGTTAAACTTGAATATATGTTCTCTCAAAGCAAACAGGTGATACAGCAAGAATATGTAAATGAGCCAGGAGAAATGGAGTACAAAGGCTATATTTGAAATTCTATGTGCAGAGCTAGTCTCCCAGTGACCTCACAGTAGAAAAGCAAATATTTCTGCCTCAGAGAAGGGGCGATGCACATACTGTAATAATCCATGCTACTCTATCTCTTTTTGATCTGGAAGGAAGCTCTCAGAGGGAGATAGACGATATAGCAAATATTGATAACAGGAAGCCAAAATGGCATAGTGAAAGGAAACATCAAAGTATTGTAATGTTGCATAAAGATAACATCCCCTCACAATTCTGGATTACACGAAATGATAACTAAAAAATGTTGTTATTCTTTAATAAGGGGACTCACTCCATGAGAGTAGGAGGCAGGCCAATTCCATCTTTTTTTTTTTTTTCCATTAATTGACTTTTTCAGAGGCCCAAACCCAACTATTATTATATTATTGTTTCATATCACTTCTATATCTTTAGCCAAGTTTTAAATTAGCTCTAAGAGTTTAAGGAAAGAAAATAAAAAGACTGGTTTTTTTTTTCCTTTACCATAATGTCCAACCTATCTTTTACTGTCCTTGGTCAATGTATGGATTAAGTAGAGCCTAAGAAAAAGAATATGGATGGGCTTTGTAGTTAGAAAATCATGGGTTTAAAGCTAAGTTCTATTCCTTCTTACTATGTGATTTTGAACATGATGCTTTGGTTTCCTAATCCATGAAGAGGGGTGGAAAATAGCTAGTACAGTAATTAGAAGAATCAAATGAGACAATCCAGGAAATGTACAAAGTTCAGCATATGGCATGTAGCAAACCTTCAGCATGAGGTCACAACTTCTTTTCTGCTGGTTCTTTCACAATTCTTTTTCTTTACCTTCCTTGAGTCTACCTCTTCTTCCTCTTTTTAAGGCTGCTCTTGTTTCTACCATCATCATTAATGAATAATTGTTTCATAATCTAAGCATTCAGACTGCTTAAAAAAAATGCGGAGCTGAGTAAACCTTTTAACATTATATCAAGTTCACTTTGAAAGTTCCAAGTGCTTTGTGATGAAAACAAAGAGACTAAATTTAAATTTGGATTTCACCAAACTATAACAAAGTAAGAAATAAAATGGCTGAAATTTCCAAAAAAGAAAAACACTCAAATGCCCAGCTGGCCAAGCAATTTATCAATCATTCTAATATTCTGAGATTGTCTCTTCCATCAGGGACTGAGCAAGGCCATGTTATTAATGGGTTTTGTCAGGACCCTTGGACAGGGAACAAATTACATGAGAGGCAATCTGAATTTGGCAGTAGAGGGACATAGTGAGGCCCTGGATAATCCCACAATTTCCTGACAAGACATGAAAGACAAATTCAAATAATACGATTGGCATTTAACTAGGCAACCTAGAATGTATTTTTACAATTGAGTTTTGACCTTAATAAAAACAAGTTATCAGGAATTTTAAACCTCTAAACCACTGAGGTTTCCATTGTGTTTAATGCCTCAGTCATGAAAGCCAGTTCAGAATCTAAATAAAAATTAATTTTATCACTTTGGAATCACATCACCATCATCATCAAAAATGCAGGTTATCTCTTTTTGTTTAAGAAGATTCTCAGTAAATTTTAGAAAAAATTCATAAAATGGTCTTATTCAACCCAGTAGATTTAATTTCAAATTTCTAGAAATCAAATTTGCTCTAAAAGGAACCAAGATGAGGCTCCATGGAAAAGATGTGACATTACATAATCAAAGTGTGTTCTGAAAGAAATTCATCAAGAAAGTTAAAAAAAAATCATGTAGATTCTACTAAGATGACTGATGATCTTCCGAGAATACAACTCTTGGCTATATAAGTTCTAGTGCATTTGTTTAAAAAAAATAATAAAACTGACATATGAACTTTGCTCCTGATATTATCCTGCATCTCCTCCCTACACCTGCAGATGGAAAGACATTTTATCCTGTGATAAATGATTCCCTTTCTGCCCTGCTTCAGGCTTGCTCTTCATCAGCATCCTGGTTATACTGTAGTTTCCACGGCTGTGGAGCCAAGTCAGCTTTCTGAGGGAACAGCAGCCAGCTGAGGAGCAGAGGTAGCCATCTGCAAAAGCTTATCTGTCTGGGGGAATGACTATTTATTGTCAGTTGAATCAGGAGTGAATCACAACATCCATCAGTGGTGGTGGCAACGTTATTCATATAATATTTAATAAGTTTATGTAATTGGACCAAGTTTCATTAGTACTTGTTGCAATAAAACCACAGACATTTCTCAAAAAGCAGGGCATCCAGCTGGAGGATGTAGACTGTTTATTTAACATTGGTGAATACACAGCCACAGGCATCTCGAAGCCAGAACAAAAATAAGCATGAGCAGTAAAAACTGCAGCAGCCAAAAAAAAGAGGCTGACTGGGCAAACACAAAACGGAAATCTAGTGAAAACACCCCCTGCATTCAGTTGTTCAGCTCGCAGAGGTCCTCCAAGCAATTATTACAAAATAATTGAGCTGATCTTGTATTGTTTCTTAACGAAGAGTATGTGTCTTAGACTTGATTTTTTTTTTTGGTAAGCCCTGAAAGCAAAAAAAAAAAATAGCATTTGGCACTATGCTTTGTATTCTGGTTCTTATCAGTGGATTTTAAGCCCTTTGCCAAATGACAGAATGTAATATAGAGATTACCTTCAGTATAAAATATACCTTCAGTAAAAAGACATGGGTGCTAATCTCAGTTTTCCACCTCATCGTATAATTTGGGTAGAGTGTCTAGTTATTCCAAAGTAAGTAGTTCAAATTTAATGTAAGATATTCCAAACTAAGTAGTTCAAATTTAATGTAAGAATAAACATGCAAAAGTACATTGACAATAATCACTTTGGAGAAGAAAAGATATCAAAACTTTAAATAATCACTAAATACCAAAACATAACCCAACTCAAAATGTTGGAAATCCTTGTGAATGAAAAACAATGAGAGTCTATGGAGAAATGTTAAGAAAATTATGAAAATGAGAGAAGATGTGTTTTCCTGGTTGGAAATATCGAATCTTTGCAAATTATTTTATGAGTCGGAAAAATTTTAAGAAGATTCTCAGTAAATTTTTGAAAAATTTCATGAAATGGTCTTAAAATTCATTTAAATAATAAATCAGTAAAAATAGGCAAGGAACTATCAGAAAAAAAGTTGTTGTGAAAGTTGCTCTACCAGTTATGATAACATATTATAAAGCTAAAATTATTTTACATGAATACAAATATAGAAAATTTTAATCATTATTAACAGAGTTATGGAAAAGTAGAGCAATGGAAATATAGAGGATTATTCTGTCATCCATTAGCCCTTTTATATTTACACAGATTTTTTTTTTATTTTAAGGGACCAGTAAAAATTATAGCCACCAGTTAAGGAATAATGAATTAATCAATATAGATACATCACATAAAATTTAGTATATGGTGTTATAGGCTGAATGTTTATGTCTCTCCATAATTTGTATGTTGAAAAATTATCCTCAAAATGATACTATTAGGAGGTGGGGTCATTGGGAGATAGCCCTAAGAGGAGGTCATAAGGGTAGAACCCTTATGAAGGGATTGGTGTCCTTATGGGAATCATAGGAGTTTGCTTCCTTGCTCCCTCTTTGTGCCCCATGAGGACATGATGAGAAGTCAGCAGTCTACAAACTGGAAGAGGTCCCTCACTAGAACCTGACCATGCTGGCACCCTGTGCCTGGACTTCTAGTCTCTAGAACTGTAAAAAATAGATATGTGTTGTTGAAGCCACCCAACCTACAGTAGTAGGGGCCCAAATTTATTCAAGATGTGATAAAGCAAGAACCCTCAAACAGTACAGAATAAAATATTCCAACTATGTCACGGAGAAAACTAAATGTGTATTTAGAAAGAATCAATTCCTTTAAGTCCTTAAGCCATATACAGAAATACATGTTAAGTTTCTTTCAGGAAACAATGTCAAAAATAAAGCCATTTTGAAATATAAAAAATGTAAAGGATTATTTTATTTCTGAAGGAAGAAATACTCTCTGATCCCTAGAGTAATGAAAGAACTTAGGAAAAAAACAGGTATATGTTGAATAATTTTATGTTTAGAACTTCTCTTTATCAAAAATAACATTACGTTAAAAGGCACAGTACAAATTAGAGAAGCATGCCCCAATTTTTTTTAAAAAGAGAGAGAGAGAGAGAGAGAGAGAGAGAGAGAATATTAATATTTATTTTTTAGTTTTTCGGCGGACACAACATCTTTCTTTGTATGTGGAGCTGAGGATCGAACCCGGGGCCACACGCATGCCAGGTGAGCACGCTACCGCTTGAGCCACATCCCCAGCCCCCCAATTTTATAAAGAATGAATAATATCAAGATATAAAGAGTTTATACAAATTGGAAAAATGAAAATATTATCTAAGAATCAACAGTAATATGAAAAATGAATATTCATAGTCAATTCATATAACTGGAATTTCATGCATCTATAAATATGAGAAAAAAGATTCAATCTTATTAGTCATTCAAAAATACAAATTGAAATTAAAATAAAATTTTATTTTCACATATCTGAATAGCAAAAACTTTTTAAAATGTTAATTATCTTGGTAATGGAAGCAGAAAATATACATTTTCCAACAGTGTTTGTGAACATATACATTAGTATAACTTTCTGGAAGCAATTTGTCAGTTTTAAGAACCTTGTACTCTTGCTCAAATGTTAACGACCAACCTTCCTCCACCACACCCTTCCACTATGAGGTTCTTTCTCACTTTGGGTCCAGAGCAATGCAGTCAATCAACTGTGGACTAAATCTCTGAAACCATGAGCAAAAACAAAACAAAACAAAACTCCTCTCAGTTGTTCTTGTCAAGAATTTTGGTCACAGCAATGCAAAGCTGACTTACAAAGGGGCCCCAGCTCCTTCTATTTTGTCATGCCAAAATCCTAGAGGGTTGCTTTCATTTCCATGAATCAAGGCTCATCCTTGCATTCACAATCCAGACAACAGGAAGAAAGGAAGGAG